ACAGGGGGTCACTCACTTGGCACATTGGCCATTCAGAGAACTCTTAGTATTTTAATCAATTAATACAAGGCATTCTCTGATAGGATGAAGGGCGGAATGTGATGCCCTTCATCCAATAAGAAAACACCTTGTGTTCAATGATAAAAATACTAGGCATTTTCTGAATGACTGCTGTGCCATTCGAGCAATGCCCTGTGTTTTCAGAGTGGAGGGGAAACAGCTAAGTTCATCACCATACAGGACCAGGAAGATCACTGTAAAGCTCTGTAGTAGCCCTGGATAAGTATGTCATATGCATACTTACATTGGGCTAATCTGGAACAATGTAAGCATGCATAATACTTTATATTTGGAGTTCAATTTTAAATGGATAAACCATGGGGACATGTGCATGTATTGCAGTTATGTACTGCATATTTTTTTATTTATATATTTTTTTTACATATCGCTTTGACACACACTTTTTGTTGTGCTGATAATATATTATTTATTGTTCAAAGTTGATGGTGCCATCTGTCTGTTCAGTACAGCACTCTCATTGGTGAACATAGTCACAAGTACCATTTGGTGTCCAGCTGGGACTTTTTTTCTTGAAAGTCAAATAATCTAACTTAGATGTAGGAATTATCGTGCTGGTTTGCCTGGTTTGAGCATTTATCTAGATTATCTAGATTGTGTTCAATGATAAAAATACTAGGCATTCTCTGAATGACTGCTGTGCCATTCGAGCAATGCCCTGTGTTTTCAGAGTGGAGGGGAAACAGCTAAGTTCATCACCATACAGGACCAGGAAGATCACTGTAAAGCTCTGTAGTAGCCCTGGATAAGTATGTCATATGCATACTTACATTGGGCTAATCTGGAACAATGTAAGCATGCATAATACTTTATATTTGGAGTTCAATTTTAAATGGATAAACCATGGGGACATGTGCATGTATTGCAGTTATGTACTGCATATTTTTTTATTTATATATTTTTTTTACATATCGCTTCGACACACACTTTTTGTTGTGCTGATGATATATTATTTATTGTTCAAAGTTGATAGTGCCATCTGTCTGATCAGTACAGCACTCTCATTAGTGAACATAGGTCACAAGTACCATTTGGTGTCCAGCTGGGACTTTTTTTCTTGAAAGTCAAATAATGTAACTTAGATGTAGAAATTATCGTGCTGGTTTGCCTGGTTTGAGCATTTATCTAGATTGCAGCAGTTCACTTGAGGTGGGTATTTCCAAATTTGTTACCCAGCACTTTTAACATCCTGGGGATATTTACTGGGCTACTCTATGCTGTCTTTAACTTGTTGTAAAAGAAAAGTTATTTCAGAGTTGATCATTCAAGCTTCATTCTCTCAGCCAACAATATTGTATTTTTAAGGCACAATGAAAATAAAAAACAAAGTCCTGTGTTCATTCCAGTCATCCTAAATTATATTAGGTGAGCAAAGAAATTGACCATGCAATGGTACCTTTCAGTGTCTTAGTTAATCATATACTCAGTAAAGCCATGTGTGCTGTCTTATCTAAGTCTAAAGTACAAAGGGAAGTTCTTTAGTAGATGTCAACAATATGCTCAACATGTTGTACAGTCGAAAATATGTAGTGGAGCGAATAACTGTATTCTCTGTACAACTCAGTGTCTACAGTGTGGTAGTCCAGGGCATGTAAATGTACAGTGCAGCATATAGTGTGTAACGTGCAGTGTATGTAGTGTCGTGTTCCAGAGTATGCAACATACAGCACAGTATACAGTATAGTGTGTAATGGTCCAGAGCTTGCAATGTATAGAACATTTTACAAAGTGTGGTCGCCCACAGGATGTAACATACAGTGGAGCATATGTGTGGTGGTTCTCAGTATGCTACATGCAGTGCAGTGTGTGCGTGTGTGTGTGTAAAATATGGATGTCATGAGCATGTAACATACAGCATAATGTATCAAGAATGGCTGTCTAGGGAGAGTAACTTATACAGAAGTGTATGTTGTCTAGTGGTCAATGGTATGCTTTGTACAGTGCAGTGCCTTGAGTGCAGTGGTCCAGAATCTGTAGCACACATTGCAACACATTGATCGTGGCAGTCCAGAGAATGTACTATACTGTGCAGTTGATGTATTTTTTTTGTAATGAATAGTGGAATGTTTTGAGAGGTAGTCCAAATTATGTAGTGTACAATGTAATGCATGGTGTGTTTTGGTCCACCAGAGCTTGTAAAATACTGCAAGCTATAATGTACAAGGCAAAAAATCTCCTTTTGTTTTTCCTAACTCAGATTGCATGTCTGTGACCTTTTTTTTTTTGGGGGGGGGGGGGGATAGTTTATTTAAGTAAGTGTTCTTTCTTTCTGTTTTTTTCTTTTTTGAGTATCTGATATGGTCTATTTTCTTTCTGTGAAAATAAATAGTATAAAATAATAAGGATAAATAGGGACTATTTTTTGGCACAAGATCAGGTCCGGGTTAGTTGAAAATCACCAAATTCCACTTTCATGTTACCTTCCCAGTTAGCTCCAATTCACAAAAATTGTGGAGAAATTAAAACATTAACAGGGCTATTCACAAAAGGGTGAAGAGTTTGGAGAAGGCAGGAGAAGTGAACAATCTAGGACAACATAGCTGAACTGGAAAGTGAGCTAAATTGGTGCATTTTCCCAAATCAGCTATTTTGGCCTAGATTGTTCACTTCTCCTGTCTTCTCCAAACTCTCCAACCTTTAGTGAATAACCCTGTAAATTCTGAATATTCCAGCCATTCACCAGCACTACTGCCAACCAGCCTTCTGACTTTGATTATACAGACTCCTTCTCACTGCCAGCCCTGCTCTGACTTTCACTCAACTAGCCCCCATGCTTTCTTTGATCATTCTCTAGGCTGCTCTGGCCCTCCACACTGTTTTGAAGCAGCATCTTCCAAAAATTAACGGCAAAGACCAACAGCTCTTTTATCATCTGTAAGAAAGTAGCAAATTATATGTATATACGCATATGAAGCATTGTGTCCAACCAGTTCAACTATTGCAATATGGTAGCAAAGAACACCTTTAAAGGAATATTTGATCTGCATATGTCCTACATATCATCTTATGGAGGATAAATGAGCTGTTGGTTCCCACTGTCATTTTTTTGAAGACTAACATTACAAAAAACAGTGTTAGTCTTCAAGAAAATTGATCTGTGCCACCATCTTGTTGAGGATAAAAGAGCTGTCAGTCTTGATACTATTTTCTGGAAGATCCTGAATGAAGATGCTGGGCCCCATATGCTATGTACTACTTTGTATCACATATATTTGTGCGCACAAACATGTGCACAGTGCCTCTAATAAACAGAGGTCCCTGAGAGAGCATATTGCCTAGTGATAGTGTACACCCGGTGTGCTGTCATTGTACATGGAGCAATAAACCAAGCTATAGCAGCTCACTATATCACTGCGTTTCCTCTCTCCTGTGGAATTGATCCCTGGGGGAAGAGAGGAGTGCAGGAACATGCCGCCTCCTCTTTGCACAGCTTGGCAGAGGGAGGGAGGCAGCAACTTCTTCTGGCTCAGTATCCCTAAGTATCTGTACAGATGCATACTAGAGGGAGTCAGCCAAATTTGCAGCTCTGCCCCTGGTCAGCCCAGGCAGAAATCTGCAGTTATTATCTGTGCTATAATGTGCAATTCGTTTGCAGGGTGCAGATTGCAAATTGCAATGTGTAATTTTTCCAGTTTCTGGCGCACATGTCACAAATCCTCTTTCACATAGAACATAGGATGTTGTTTATTTGGTGCATGTCAATGCTCATCATATTTGCTCCAAAAGTGTCAGGAAAACAATAGTTTACCAGGCCCACTGTGTGGGGCAGTCTAGATCATTATTAAGTTTATCAGGAGTTTGAGCAAGTAGGTGGAGCAAAGCAAGAACAAAGTTAGCAGGGGGTAGCCCAAGGGCCTATAGCAGAAACATATCATAGTGGAGAAAGCTGGGCCTTAAAGGTAGAGTAACCAAAATCAGCAGGGGCAAGGGCCCACTGGGCCTAGAGCGCAATTGTCCCCACTGACCATGCAATCAAAATGAGGGGATAGGCATGCCTACAGACATCTCTTCTGTCTTTGCATATGCGTTTGTATGTTATTAAAGTTATTTTATACAAACCTAGCCTTCACCTTCGTAACATCTCCAAAATACGCCCCTTCCTCACCAAAGAAACCGCAAAATTACTCATCCACTCCCTTGTTATCTCTCGTCTTGACTATTGCAACTTTCTCCTCATTGGCCTACCTCTACACAGGCTATCATGAATGCAGCTGCTAGACTCATCCACCTAACCAACCGCTCAGTGTCTGCAACCCCCCTCTGTCAATCCCTGCACTGGCTTCCTATAGCCCAAAGGATAAAATTCAAAATATTAACAACCGCATACAAAGCCATCCACAACTCTGGCCCCGGCTATATCTCCAACCTGGTCTCAAAGTAGTACCCTAAGCGTCCCCTCCGCTCTTCACAAGACCTCCTGCTTTCCAGCTCCGTCATCAACTCCTCCCATGCTCGCCTCCAGGACTTCACTAGAGTGTCTCCCATTCTATGGAACTCTCTACCCCAACCTGTCCGTCTATCTCCCACACTGACTGCCTTTAGGCAATCCCTTAAGACTCATCTCTTCAGGGAAGCCTATCCCACCTCACCCTAACCACTGAACAATCACTTTCTCAAACAATCATCCCCACGCAGCTACCTCCTCATGTATCACTTGCCCCTCCCTTTTAGATTGTAAGCCCTCACGGGCAGGGCCCTCCTTACCATCTTGTCTTAAATTGTATTGTGACTGTAATGTCTTCCTTATATTGTAAAGCGCTGTTCAAACTATTGGCGCTATATAAATCCTGTATAATAATAATAATATGTTTATTTAGCATTTTAAACATTTACTGACCATTTTTCAAATGTATTGGCCATTTGTTAAGTTAGATACCTTCTTCTATCTAATTATTATCATTTTCTTCTCTTTTATTTTTCAGTACATTCCCAGAAGCAAAACAGGCAAACCTGTGTACGGAAGAGCCTTATATGTGCATTTGCCATGGCCTTTATTATAAGTGTCATGCTGATTGCAGCCAATCAGATCCTTCGGAGTGGCATGGAGTAGTTTTTTTTTTTATTTTACCATAGCACTGTGAACAAGAATAACCATGCATGCGCATGCCTAGGTGAACATTTTTCTTAATGAATATATAATGGGAACTGCTGCGAGAACAATCGTTCTGCAACAATACAAGGCCAGCAGTTGTGAAGTGGCTTGTGGAACAATTGAATCTTCTCGGCGGGGATACAAAAGGGCTGTCTTAATGCTTTAACGGTTTTGTTTCCAAATGCAATAAACCCACAGGAGTTCTGAATTATTACTTCAAAGTTAAATGATAATACCATAATTCTGTACAAGTTCATAGATGTCTATGAACAGCAGCAGGTCATAAAACCTGTTGTCTGAAAACAATGTTGTCCACTCAGACTTTAATCAATCAGCCTGCGTTTGCCATCTTCTTTCAGGAAAGTATCAAGGTATATTTTGCAATGATATATTCACAGTGGCCATTGTCATACATTGCATACCTATTCATTTACTATTCTACCACTCTACTTGTATACCCATATTGTTAATATATATTAAATCTTTTCTCATGGAATGTAGCGATATTTGGATGTCTTGGAAATTATGGGAAGAATAGATCTGGTATCTGTTATCCAGGATGGTTAATACTTTCAAGCTTTCTGCATCTTGGGTCTGGATCTGGAAACTTTTAATAATCAAGCTCAATTATAGGGCAAAGAGTAACATGCAACATGCAGAAACCCAAAGAGGCCAATCAAAAAACTTTCCTACATAGTTATAATTACTCTAAAAATATGAAGAATTAACTATGATTGGTTGCTATGTGTCACCATGTATGTCATCATTGCTCTTGCAATTTTTTTAAATAAATCAGACTGTGTATAATGTAACAAACACATTGAAAGTATGTGTACGATGCTGCTTTCTGTGTTTCTTTTTGTTCCATCTGTGCTGTGATGGCTGCAACTGTTATTAGGACTCATTGATTACAACCTGCTCAGGTTCATAGGGTGTTCAGTGTTATTGCTGACTTCACAGCATCAAGACTGGCACTTACAGGTGAAACTCGAAAAATTAGAATATCGTGCAAAAGTTCATTTATTTCACTAATGCAACTTAGCCGTCTACCAGGAGATTTTGGAGCACTTCATTCTTTCTTCCGCAGAAGAGCTCTATGGGGATGCTGACTTCATTTTCCAGCAGGACTTGGCACCTGACCACACTGCCAAAAATTTTCTGAGATTGTGGATCTGGGTTTTCATGAGCTGTAAGCCATAATCATCACAATTATGACAAATCACGGCTTGAACTATCTTGCTTTGCATGTAATGAGTCTATCTCATATATTAGTTTCACCTTTTAAGTTGCATTAGTGAAATAAATGAACTTTTGCACGATATTCTAATTTTTCGAGTTTCACCTGTAGTTCTTACTCCGACTGCTGCTGTAAACTGACCAGCATGATTTCAACAGGGTCCTTTAACCCTAATAGCACAGCCAGCTCCATTTACTCTCAATTTGACACATGGGACACAGCACACAGATGTAACCACATACATTTATGACTAAAATGCTATCTGCCCCAAAACATGGCTGTTATAACATATATTTTAGTTAGTGTGCCACTCAGTTATGGAAAAAGGTTTGGTGATCAAAAGGTTTGTGAATAATGTTTTTACATAGACAATTCAAATAAATGTTTTGAATAAAATGTCTTTGGATAACAGATTCCTTAGCTGTTTGGTATGATCTTGGTGAGGGTAACATGTTTATCATTTAATATTGTAAATCCTGATAAAAAAAAATATTTGTATATTTAATGTTTTTTCTTTCTATAAAGACTGAAGCAATAATAACAATGGCACAAAATATTTGGAGCTAAGTTCAAAGGTATCAGGATACTTTGTTGGTTATTTTATCCAGTTAATATTTTGACAGCTAAGTCTACAAGTCCAACTTTTTTCATTTTGCAATCTTGGTTTGTGGATGGTGTGACTGTGTACAAAAACTCCTGGAACTTTCCACCTTACGTCTAATAAATGGATTCTAAAGAGCCAAAGTCATATTAATATATTTCTGCATTTCCATGCCAAAAGCATACATTGCTAGATTTGCACTTTGAATGTATGCCTATTAAATTGTGACATTTCATTTAGTACTATATTAAAATGTGGAAATTGATTTGCATTAACCTAAATAATTTCTCTATTTGATAAGTGTTATTGTCAAGTACACACATATAGCTAGTGACTTAGTAAATAAAACAATTTTTTTTTTCTTTTATTGTAGATCAATGCATCACAGTAAACTTTAAAGATTTAGGTTAAAAACATAATAACAAGTGGCTAAACTTGGATAAGGCCATCATTTGTATACATGATTAGGAAGTCATATCACCCCGCTTGGGTGTTTAAAGAAGGACAAATGTTTGCTATTCATGTTGATGTTGTGGCATCTGTAACCCAAAGTAGTGTAGCCCACACTTTTTTTGGACAGATTCAGGTTTAATTGCTTTCTGTGTTTCCACAGGGGGGGGGGGGGTTCCCCTCTGTCAGTGGTGACACCGGTCATTTCTCACAGTTTCCTATCCTAACTGGCATCAGCCACCAGTACACAAAGTAAAGGGAACTCAACATTGGAAACACAGAGAGCATGAGAAACCTGAAAGAGCATCAAACCACGCCCCACTCAATATTTTTGCCTATATATCTATGTAAAATACCCATAAAGGAAATTTCCATCTATATATTCTTTGTGTTATTTCTATTTATTTTTTTCAAATACATTGGAAAGATACAGTGTGTGAATTATGAGTTGTCTACAACGAGATTTATATCAAATATGGAATTGTTTTCTCCTTCCTGCATTTTTCTCAAAAGGAACAATAGATTTGTAATCCAGATGTTGTATAAATGTTCTTACCAGATTTGGTTCATCCATTCTAATTTAATAACACTCACATATATCCATTGGTATGAAGGTCAAACCTGTCTCCAATTCAGTCACTCACTCGTGCTTTTTTCCAACCCATAACAACCACAGGTTTTTTTAATATGACAGAAAATCCATGCCCTATAATAGTTTGCCCCATAGATAGGACTTAAATACAATCTCTTGCAATCAAACAAGTGCTTAAACATGCAGAACTAGCTAGACAATGTAACATTTCTCTGAATCAGGGTATGGATTGAAATTGAAATTAAATACAGAACTTAGTGTACTGTACTGCACTGTCACTGTTCCTGATTTGCATAATTTGCTTTATACTCCCTATTTCCTTGCCTACCTTAAGTGCTAAAATGCATCCTTACAATGCCACTGCTAGAATAACTATACAGTATATACTGTATATCACTGGTGAAAGCAAAATAAGAAAAAAGGCATGTATTGCCCACAAACCAATCATATTCCTAGTTTCATTTTGACAGAAAATAAAAGATGAAATCTGATTGGTAGCAACAAGTAATGCTTTCATCCCATGTTCTTTTCTTCAGTATTTTAAAAATAGCCCCCTAAGTAAAATTATGATTCTGCTAGTTGCAAATCTGCACAGAGTAACTAGCTATTCTTAGTCTGCAAACATCTGAATTGTTCCTTTGAATGAACAAAGCTCAAGCAATCTTTGAAAGAATATAAAGAAATATACTGAGTGGTTACAACTGTGCTCACAAAGTAAGAATTTAATGGCAGGTCCTGCTGCTAACTGCTGATTTCTACTTTGAAGTTACATTTGGCATTTAGTCTATTTTGATTTTCACTTCTCTGTGTAGTATGAATGTAGTCAACATATAATAAAGGATATATTTGCATATGTTATGTGCAAAAGCATTGTAGATTATTTAGATATTATTTCTCTTTGTCTGCAATGAAAAAAAGAAATAAAAAGAAAACAATCAACTAATTGTATGTGATTGTGTAGAAAATAAGCAGGGTGCTACATGTTAATGGACACTTGCTCAGGAAGCAACCATGGGAGGTGAGAGACTGGCAAGGCATGTCAATTTAGAAAACGAGAATAGACTTTTAAGCCATTGACTTACTCTATTTGTGAAGTAATATAGGTCTTTTCAGATTTGTTGCCAATCTGCTTTTTGCTGTTTGAAAACTTTAACACAGATTTTGCATTTAAAGAGGATTTATATGGAGTATGTTAGTGTCAGTTTTGTAAATATAAATCAGTGAATCCGTGTCTTGCATTCATGTTATACATCCTTGGCTCATTTTGGCAATTTGTAATATAATTTTGACAAATTGTACTTAGGCACATTCACATTTGTGGTTATAAGGATTCGATGTTGTGTATTTATATGATGCCGCTTGTCTTTGTGGTAGTGGTTAGAGTAAGTCAATGAACAAGGTGGATATTATAATTGTAAATCTTATCCCTGGGTGTATAGCGGGCAGGTCCACATTAAATATTAGAGTGAGCACACATGTGCAAATTATGATCAATTTTGCAAACAATTAACCATACACGGCCCCTGGAGATCGAAATAGGGATTACATTTCCCTACTAAATTCCAAAATGCATATAAAAATGTTGACTATAAGTACAATTTAAGCATACCTTCGGGTAAAAATGTGATTGAGCCTTGTAGTTGGGCTTCACCTGCACTGCAATGGTTAAGTGCTTGTTTTTGCCTAGGGTCAAATATAAAAACAATTATACTCACCAGCCCCTCCAAGCTGGCTTGCTCTTAGACCGGTCCCGACCCAACACCGCCTACTGATATTTGACAGTTGGTATCTTTCAAAAGCAGACTTTGATCAATTGTAAGCTTTAATAGTGTGCAATGCTTGTTTGATTCAAATATGTTTGCTGATTATTTTGGTCCATTATGACTCATTCATCTGTGTGTCTAAATTCAGCTAGAGCTACTGAGCTCTGTAAAAAAAAAAAAAACAAGCTATTTTTCAACAGATGTTAGAGAAACTGGAAAGCATTTGAAACAGAACTTCAAACTTCGAATTAGATATTACTACGAAATAATATTTTACTAAAGAGAAAAAAATTTATTGTTTAGCCCTGACCATAATGAAAACCCTACATGCCAAACAACTGCTTATATCCTTTCAAATGTATTTCTCAATGATAAGATTTTAGTGTGCTTATACATGGGCTAATTTAAATAAACGTGGGTAAAACTGTTGGCTATTTCTTTGCGGGAGTGCCCCCCCCCTGCGCTGTCCCGCTGGTCCCATGCTCCGCTGTGCCCGGAGGGAGATACACGATCTCCCTCCGGTCCCCTCTCTGAATGCGGAAGTGATGTGTATGACATCATGTCCGCATGTGATAGCAAT